ACCAATATGTTTTCAATTTATTTAAATCTATCGCCTAAAATTTCTCCAAACAATGGTAGATTATCGTACTTTTGTTCTTCCCTCAGCGGGAAATAAACCCATGCTTCTATGATAACCTGGCAACACCGCCTGCATTGTGTCTAACAACCCAAACCGCACGCTTGGCCAACTGAATAATCAATGGATGGCTTTTCTGGCGGGATCGTCGCCATTAGCAAGGGTTTTGAAACACAGTACATGATGTTATACAGGGTTAACACTACAAAACTTGTCTGAAATTTAGTCCAAAAATATTAATTCTGCATTTGCTCTGAGACCACTATTAAACACATACGTCTGCGATATTGTTGCTACACCATCTGCACGGTGTCCAACAACACATGCACATACACATATATATATGTGTACACATTCTTTTAATTATATCTACCTTCCAATTGATTAATTAAAGAAATATGACCCAATCTTTTCTAGGTTAGGGAGGTATTTTATTACTAGTGTTTCATTAGCCAGCTTCATGTCACAACTTTGTATTGTCTTAAGGTGTGGAATTTCTTTTTCTCTGGGAAATCTCATCCACTTGCAATATCAATATCTGACATAGCTTGTCACAAAGGCAAGTATGTGTATTTTCATTAATGCTACTAAAACACTAAATAGATGAAAATAACACGACATGAATTTGGTGCTTCCAAAGTGCTTTTCTGTATTTACTTTCATCTCGGTCTAAAGCTATTATTTGTAAATTTAACGAGCATTCTGAGAGTATTGCATGGCAATACATAGTCCCCTACGGGGTAAAAATTCATTATACTGGGAACAAAATGCTAACTTGTTCTATAACTTGTCATGGTGTAAACAAAAAGAAAATATCAAGTCAATATCTTCAAGCATGACTAAAAACAGTGTGGAAAATTGAATATATGAGTGAATTTTTTCAAGTCCAAGGACCATAACTCTGCACAAAATTATCAGACCGAAACAAAAATTTGAACTTGATCTGTAACTTGTCATGATAAAACTATATACCAACTGTCAATCAATATCTTCAAGCATGATGAAAAAAGTGTGGAAAACCTATAACACTCTAACATTATATATGATTAATAGTTCTCTAAAATTAGATATGATGTAATACAATGTATATCTATTTTCAAATTACAATCAAATATAATTAATAGTTCCAAATATTTTTTCTTTCATTTGTCACAAACTAATATAGATTTGTAACTTATCTATAAAATGTCAACAACTTTTATCTACACAATGTAATGTAATGAAATATATACCTAAATAAAAATAGATTATTATCTAATTAAAGGATTTCACTTAATAAAAAAAAAATATATATATATATGTAGCATTCAGAAAATTAGTTTATACAAAATAACATACAAACCTGCCACAAAATTCCTCAAACAATTTACCAAAAAATGTCTTTAAAAAAATGAGTTATCTCCCTTTGTACAGATTATATGGTTTAACATAGTACTCTAACATTAGTTATGGAGTTTTTTTATGGACCATAACTCTGGACTAAATCATCAGACCGGTACAAAATTCGAACTTGATCTATAACTTGTCATGATAAAACTATATACCAAATATCAAATCAATATCTTCAAGAACGAAGAAAAAAAGTGTGGAAAGCTGAGTTGCCGGACTGACAGATTGACAGACGGACGGACGGACAGACAGACAGACGGACAGAGTGTCGGTAGGGGACTAATAACAAGGTGAGGAAAATAAATTCTTTTATCTAGATTAGTACTTCATCAAACAATGGAATCCTCTGTTTTCCTATGCCACTTTAGGGGAGGGGTCCAATTGTTTGAAAGACATTATAATCTACAAAATGCTATCATAAATTTTCCATAAACATTAATGAACAAAAGTGTTAATTCATATGAGCAGTTAAACCAGAATTTACTCGATGGGGTAGTTCTATAAGCAAGAAGTTATTTATTGTAACAATTTCCAAAAACATCGAGTTTTTTTTATTGGAGCAGTTTCAATAAACAAGGAATTATTCATTGAATTTGTTTCAATAAACAGGGAATAATTCATTGGAACCTTTTCTATAAACAAAGAGTTGTTCGTTGGAGTAGTTTCTATAAGCAAGGAGATATTCATTTAAACAGTTTAATCAGAATTTATTCGTTGGAGCAGTTTCTATAAGCAAGAAGTTATTCATTGGAACCGTTTCTATAAACAAGGAATTATTCATTGAAGCTGCTACTATAAACAGGGAATAATTCATTGGAACTGTTTCAATAAACAAGGAATTAATTTATTGAAGCCATCTCTATGAAAGAGAGGCAAAAGATACCAAAGGGACATTCAAACTCAGAAGTGGAAAATAAACTGACAACACCATGGTGAAATAAAATGCTCCGCTGGGCGCAGCTTGATACAACCGCAGAGGTCGAACCCTGAACAGTTGGGGCAAGTACGGACACAACATTCAAGCTTGATACAGCACTGAATTTGGATTGTGATTAAATATTTGACACAGCATAGGTTTCTGACACAGAATGAATGTGGTCTAAGAACTTAAAAAATTTTAATTTACCTATTCAAATCATATCATTATTATTTGCTTTTATATATAAATCAGAAATAACCAATTTAAAATGGAAAATTTTAAAGAAAAAAAAAGGAAAAAACCCCCCCCGCCCCAAATTTTTTTTAACCCCCTTATGATTCATCACCCCCAAACTCAATCCCAGCCTTCCCTTTGTGGTATGGTACCTTGCAGTACAATTTCAGAGAGATCCATACACTTGAACACAAGTTATTGTCTGGTAACTAGAAAAATTCGTAAGGGTTCCGCGGAACCCAGTGTCTCGCCTACTTTTGCTGTTAATCGCAGGCTCAACAAAAATGAGGAAAAAAATAAATAAAAATATTCCTCTCTATACTATCTTTTGATTGTTAGTAGCTTCTGTCCAAGTTTGGTAAAAATCCAGGATAGTTTATGAATCTAATAAATGTTTTAAAAACTTAAACTGCAGACTGTATGTAATGTTAACTGGAAGAAAAACAAAGTCCATTTATAAGTAAAATACGGAAAAAATCAAACAAAATTTTAACAAAATTTCCTTCTAGATACTAGCTTTTAATCATAAACAAGCTTCTGTCCAAGTTTGGTACAAATCCAGGATAGTTTAAGAAAGTTGTTAAAATTTTAAAAACTTTAACCACTGAGTGAATGTAATGTTAACTGGCAGAAAAACTAAGTCCATTTATAAGTAAAATACGGAAAAAATGGATTTTTTTTTTTACAAAATTTACTTCTGGATACTATCTTATGATCATAAACAAGCTTCTTTCCATGTTTGGTAGAAATATAGGATAGTTTAAGAAAGTTATTAAAATTTCAAAAACTTCAACCACAGAGTGAATGTAATGTTTCTTGGCAGAAAAACTAAGTCCATTTATAAGTAAAATACGGAAAAAATGGATTTTTTTTTTTACAAAATTTACTTCTGGATACTATCTTATGATCATAAACAAGCTTCTTTCCAAGTTTGGTAGAAATCCAGGATAGTTTAAGAAAGTTATTAAAATTTCAAAAACTTTAACCACAGAGTGAATGTAATGTTTCTTGGCAGAAAAACTAAGTCCATTTATAAGTAAAATACGGAAAAAATGGAATTTTTTTTTTACAAAATTTACTTTTGAATATTATCTTATGATCATAAACAAGCTTCTGTCAAAGTTTGGTAGAAATCCAGGATAGTTTAAGAAAGTTATTAAAATTTCAAAAACTTTAACCACAGAGTGAATATTTGTGGACGCCGCCGCCGACGACGACGCCGACGGAATGTAGGATCGCTATGTCTCGCTTTTTCGACAAAAGTCGAAGGCTCGACAAAAATGCTTTTTTTAGGCCCCCTTTTGGCCCCAAATTCCTAAACATTTAGGGCAATTACCCCCCAAACTCAAACCCAGCATTCCCTTTGTGATATGGAACCTTGTAGTACAATTTCATAAAGATCCATACACTTACACACAAGTTATTGTCCTGAAACTAGAAAAATGCTTGTTTTTTGCCCCTTTTTTGCCCCTAATTCCTCAAATTTTGAGGCAATTACCCCCAAAATCAATCCCAGCCTTCCCCTTGTGGTATGGTACCTTGCAGTACAATTTCAGAGAGATCCATGCACTTGAACACAAGTTATTGTCTGGAAACTAGAAAAATGTTTGTTTTTAGGCCCCTTTTTGGCCCCAAATTCCTAAACATTTAGGGCAATTACCCCTAAACTCAATTCCAGCTTTCCCTTTGTGATATGGAACCTTGTAGTACAATTTCAGAAAGATCCATACACTGACACACAAGTTATTGTCATGAAACTAGAAAAATGCTTGTTTTTTGCCCCTTTTTTGGCCCCTAATTCCTAAAATGTTGAGGCAATTACCCCCAAAATCAATCCCAGCATTCCCTTTGTGATATGGAACCTTGTGGTACAATGTCAGAGAGATCCATACACTAACACACAAGTTATGTCTGGAAGTTACAAAAATGCTTATTTTTGGCCCCTAATTCCTTAACTGTTGGTACCATAACCCCCAAAATCAATCCCAACCTTCCTTTCGTGGTATTGAACCTTATGGTAAAATTTCATAGAGATCCATTCACTTAAACTAAAGTTAGAGTGCGAAAACCAATGTATCTGCGGACAACAATGACGACGACGAAGTCGCCAACATCATACCAATATACGAACGCAAAATTTGTTTGCGGTCGTATAAAAAGACCAACAGACAAACAACAGTACATAAAACACAACATATATAAGCAAGGATTTATTCATGGGAACAGTTTCTTAATTCAGTTGACTTAATTATTGGAGAAGTTTTTATAAATAAGGATATTATTGTAGCAGTATCAACTTTGTCAAAGCTACATACATCACCTCTTATATACATCAGACAATATTGTGTGTGTGAGTGGGTGTGGTGGTTGGTGCCCTAAGCAAATGTAAACTCAGAAATGCTTTTACATGAATAATCAGGTTTATTAGAAACAAATATTTTTAATTTGACATATTTTATATATCTATTGCATAACATGGTAAAAGAAGAGGAAGACTAACAAATTATACAACAAACTTAGAGCACTTCCTCATTCATCAGATGAAGTTGAGATAATGAAATGGTATTGGTTCTGCAACTTACTCACTTTTAACAAGAGGCTCTCAAGAGCCTGAATCGCTCACCTGTATTTTTTTGCTTAAATCTTTCATCAATGATTATTTTTGCTTTTCAATATATATTAATGAGTGGCTTAAAAATGCCATTTAAATGTTCTTTGTATCTGTCATATTTTCTTCAAAATCAAAGAAATGCATTTTATCCCTATGTTCCATTTTAGCCATAGTGGCTACGTTTCTTGACGTACGGTACAAGGAAATTAAATAAAAAATTTATACAAGATACTCTGAAACTCATTCAGCCCAACATTGGCTGAAATTGATTCAGTAGTTTCAAAGCAGAAGATTTTTTAAATTAAGCAAACTAGATGAACAAATTGTGAAAAATTGTCTTTAAAGGACAATAACTCCTTAAGGGGTCAGTTGACAATTTTTGGTCATATAAAACTTATTTGTAGATCTTACTTTGCTGAACATTTTTGCTGTTTACAGTTTATCTTTATCTATAATAATATTCAAGATAATAACCAAAAACTGCAAAATTTCCTTAAAATCATCAATTCAGGGGCAATAACCTAAAAATCAGATACCCGATTTGGCTGATAATTTCAGGGCAGGTAGACCTTAACCTAATGAATACTTTAACTTCTTGTCTGATTTACTCTAAATGCTTTAGTTTTGAGATACAAATCAAAAACTGCATTTTACCCAATGTTCTATTTTTAGCCATGGTGGCCATGTTTTCTGAGGAAACAGAAAATAAAACACAAACTTTATTCTAGATAACCTAAGAATCATTCAGCTTAAGTTTGGTTTAATTTGGTTTAGTAGTTTCAGAGGAAAAGATTTTTTAAAGTTAGAAAACATGATAAACAAATTGTGTAAAATTGTCCTTAAAGGACAATAACTCCTTAAGGGGTCAATTGACAATTTTGGTCATATAAAACTTGTTTGTCGATCTTACTTTGCTGAACATTTTTGCTGTTTACAGTTTTTCTTTGTCTATAATAATATTCAAGATAATAACCAAAAACTGCAAAATTTCCTTAAAATTACCAATTTAAAGGCAGCAACCCAACAATGGGTTGTTAGATTCATCTGAAAATTTCAGAGCTGATTGACCTAATGAACACTTTTAACCCCTGGTCAGATTTACTCTAAATGCTTTAGTTTTTGAGATATAAGCCAAAAACTGCATTTTACCCCCTATGTTCTATTTTTAGCCATGGTGGCCATGTTTTTTGACAAAACAGATAATAAATCACAAACTTTATTCTAGATACCCTAAGGATCATTCAGCTTAAGTTTGGTTGGAATTGGTTTAGTAGTTTCAGAGGAGATGTTTGAAATAGTTTACACCGGACGGACGACAACAACGGACGCAAAGTGATGGCTAAAGCTCACATTTCCTTCAGAAAGGTGAGCTAAAAATAGAATGCTTATAAACATAGGACATATTAAGTTGCAATAAATAACTGACTGATATTTTTTAAGTAAGGACAATCAGTAAACAATTGAAATTGTATTTCTTCTATCCAGCTGAAAATATTAAACTATTTATGGTTTACCGAGTCATAAATATTGGCAAAATATCCTGCCACCTGGTAAAAAAATCTTAATGAGATTTTTTTTTAAACATATCAAATATATATTATTTTAAAAATTGTTAAAAATATTTTAATAAATAATTTCTAGAAACTCAAGAAAAATATAAGTTCAAATGTTAATATAACAATTTAACATTAGAATGTATATGATTTTAGTTACATATTTAATATGAGGGATTTATTTATACCTTCTGAATGTCATGAATAACTCTGTTATACAACAGTATTGCACACTAACATTAATAATGATTTGTCGGAACTTTCAATGATAATTTAGGTTATTAACCAAGACATGTTTATTTTAATATTTTATAACAAAAGGGTCACATAAAAATCTCAAACCAAGTAGATGTCATCTGTAGTTTATATAAAATTGAATTAGTTTAATTTTTGCATAAAGATTTTATTTTTGGGATATAAAGAGTGGGCCTATGGTATATATAATTTCTTTAAATTTTGAAAAATAACCATATGACAAAAAAACATAGCTTTAATGACCAAGTTTATGTTGACAGATACTGCTAGGTCTTTATAAAGATAAACTAGTATCCATCTCATCTCCTTAACCAAAACTAAGACTGTCTAATGCATTTCACCCTTCCCATCCCATTTTGTTTTTTTCATCTTTAGTAGTGACTTAACAAAGTCTAAAAAAACACTACGCCACTATCACATGATGATGATTTAAAAAAAAAAAGGTTTCATCGTCAGCAAAATCTAAACTAATCTACATGAAAGTTATTCAAACTATGTTGTCATTATAGTGAAAGGGTGGTTCAACTTAGAATCTATTAATACTTCTATGCAATTCATGATGATTAATAACAATGGGATATACTTAGTAGTTTTATAGTGTTCTCCCCAGGATTTTCATATACTTTATGGGTACTGATTGGTGTGTTATAAAGCATCATATAAATATTCTTATTTTTAATATACTACTTCAACTTGAGACCTTTGAAAAATGTGTCAAAGACTAGAATGCCTGGGGTTTGTCATTTGAAAGGCTTTAAAAAGGTAATGACCCTCGTATTTGATATGCCTCAGGGAGCATCTATCACATGTAAGTATCATAGGTATTTAATAATGAAAGGTGATATCTTTTGATTTCTTTAAACTAAAAAAACTAGTCTCCCAGAAGGTATAGCCTAAATTATTATTTTTTTTAATGGATACATAGAGAATGTTTCAACATAAAGAAAATCTGCATAAATTACTAAAAGGTGTTTTTTACACAAAATAGTCACCCTTCTTTCCCTGTTCACCCAATAATCTCCATACTATAAGACAGATTTGCACTTTGAGTAAACCAGCAAATATTTGAACAATTTTATATCAATGATACTACAATAGTCTAAATTGGCATATAGAACTTTATATCATTCTATTCATTGCTTTAAAGTTTTCCCTTTTAAAAAAAGGTCAGAAAATTTTAAAACGGCTTAAACAGTGTCATGGTTTTCAATCACAGAATAAAAGTACTGTGGTTAGCTGTCAAAATGTGTAGGTTAATTGTGATGCTAAAAGTCAAGTTGAAGTGACTGAATATGTTATATTATATTTTTGGCACTGTATTTTAAGAGAGATATGTATAAAAATATCCAATAACAGCTAAGGTACATATACTCATTTCCATACTAAAAGCACTTGTTGAAGGTACACAATTGGATCATCCATAACCATCAGTATAAAGGAGTAGGCGAAAATGGCCCTAAAATCAAATGTGTCTCAAAACTTATCAAACTTGCTGCAATAAATGATGAAGCTGTTGTTTATTAGCGGTTATACAGCCTTGAATCTAGCTTGAACTGTTATAGTGGACTAAAACTAATGTCTCCACATCATCTAAAGAAGTCGTTCCTGTAAACAAAAGGCCTAACAAACACATTTTAGTAATGTAAAGATATTGGCATGGCAAATAAGAATATATCTATATATGGTTAATGGATGGGAATCTGAAATGTTTAACAATTTATGATACAAGAGGACTGGGCATGGCCCATCCCTGAAAAAAATCTATGGGGCACTTAAAAGGTATGGTCATGGTAGAATATCTTTTATAAACCTAAATGCAGTCTTATATAAAATGTTTTTTTTTCAAAAACAAATATTTTTTGAGGTAATTCAGACAAAGTTTTCTGGTCATATTATAAGTATGTTTATAAGCTTCAAAAATATTTGGTGTTACTATGTTTTATCTTTTTTCAATTAATCACCATATATAAAATTTTTGTCAACAATTAGACATAAGCTTCAGCTTTTTCATTAACATTTTGAAGTTGCACAATTAAAGACATCAAATAAACAACTGAATATCATGACAAAGAATTACTTCAACTTGAACTTTAAAAGGCCCAGGGAGAACACCCAATTATGTTACAATGTCGATTAGAAAAGATTAAGTATGACTATTTGATTTTTTTGGTATTTGAATCTATACGGTGGGCTAACTTTGATGATTTTTATGCTTAAAACCAATTGTTACAGCTATAAAACATTTAAAACTTTTAGTTATGATTCTTTTTCAATAAGGGGGATTTTCAAACTAAAAAAAAATTATAAGCCAAAAATTAAAAATAAAGCTTTGCAAAGATATAATAATTTATAATTAATCCAATCTTTTCCAAATGAATCTTTAAAAATATTTACATTTTCCTTTAACTTGGACATACAAATTGTGACTAGAATATCAAAAACATCTGTAAACAGTATTTCTTCAAGTATTTTTACATAATGAAGATTAAGCAGATATAACAGTACTTTGTAACTTACTATATTTGTATTTAATAAATATATAATATAAATATTCAAAACTTGACTGAATTATAGCAGGCATTCAACCGTTTTAATGCCCTATCTTCCTTTTATACAGTGATAATTAGAGATTAACAACTGATCGCTTACAGCACTTATGGTGATTAAAACAATTTCATCCTGAAAATTGCCCTGATGGATTATCTCCCCCTGAAACTTATGACGATTATATATCCTCCAGAAGCTGTATGTACAAAAAATGATTATTTAACAATAATAAACAAATACATCAAAATGGAAAAACAAAAAGATAAAAATCTGCACTTATTAACAACACCATATATCATTATATAAAATATATACAACATTATAAAAGATTTTTGATTTTTTTGAGTGATGCAGAAAAATTATGCATACAAACAGATAAATACTGAGATAAAAATTTGAAAATACATATACAGTTTTTAACAAAATATAACAGTAACTATAAATGTACGTCACAACAGTGTTACGGCCAGCATAGTGAAAGTACAATAAATAAACAATATTAAAATGCATGCCAAATACCTAAGACCTTTTCCTTAAATGGTCACCAAGTTACTATTATAAAAATGCTGTAAATTGTTAAAATTATGAAGATTTTCTTGGTCAGAGTAATTCTGCATAAAAAATTTGCTGGTCATGATCACTTTAATACTTTTTGGAAAACCAGAATAACTAAACATGTAATAGAAAAAACTCAAGTTTTGAAGGATAAAAAAATTTATGCTACCTTCTAGGCATACCTATGTGATAAATACTGTAAATTCAGAAATCATTGTGTACATTTATTATTGCGATTTTTGGAGATTGGACAAAAATGCGAGATAAATTATTGCGATTTCCAAAAAATCTCCACACAGATATATGTATCAGATGTAAGAATGTGAGTTCTTATTATTGCGATACTCACCTAGTTGCATTATTCCCATTAATAAAAAAACCTTGCAATAATTTCTGAATTTACAGTAATATAAATATTTTATAAAGTTAAAATGAAAAAAAAATCATTCTAAGGGAAATAACTCAACAAAACTTAGTTATCAAAAAGTTGCAGGTAAAAACAGGATGTCAAGTTTAATGTACTATAACAGCTGTTCTGAATAATCAAATATCATTTCCATTTATCACATATTTCAGTACAGGAATGAAAAAAAGATAGAATTGATTAGTTAACGTATAAAAAAATCATTACAATAACAGTTATTGGTAAGGAGTCATTTTGTATAAGGCCATTCATAACTTTTCTTTGCTAAAGAGAATAATATACAACACTAATATGAAGCTATTGAGACAGACACAGCTTAATGTGGTATAAGATGTTGCAGGAAAAGGTCTTTCTTACATTCTGTGCATAATAAGTCTACAATATTGATAAAAAAACACCCACATGATTAAGTATCTTTATAAATTTTCCTTCTTTTGATTATTAATTTTGAAACCCCCATTAGAAATGCAACCAGGATTTACTAATTAATTAAAAGTTTTGTATCTTAATCATGTGAGAAAAGCAGCAGCCACAAAAACTTTGTCTCCTTGGAAACAGATGTATTTTTTTCAGAATTTTTGTGACAACTGTCATGAAAGAAACAACAACATTGTATCATGATGCATTGGTACTGTTACGTTCACCTCGAGATTTGCTAAGATTATATGTTTCATTCACACCTTTCATTCCTATATCCTGCCATAATTTCAGAGCTTTGTCTTTACGGAACTGTTCCCAGCGATCATCGTCAGATTCGTGTGTAATGTATCTATGACCAACTTGTTCTTCCAGCTTCCTTAGATCACACCATGTTTGATAGTCCTGCCAAAGTATAAATAAATAATCAGTATTTCTGCTGTTAATAACGTTATGCTAAATTTTCTGTGAAACAAACTTTATATTATTGTAAATTACATTTCTTATTAAAAGTAAGTTTTCAACTTTAAAACAAATTTAAAACATACAAAAAATTTTAACACCTGTTACAAGTTTTGAAAAGATTGATCAAAATATTGTTTTAATACTTTCTCATTGTGTTTTTTTTTGTGCTATATATAGCTATTAAAAATAATGCAGCATTTCTACTTTTAAAACTATTATTATCTCTGGATATATATTAATTTTTTATTAGGATCCAACTAAAACTGTATATATGTCAGCTAATGAAAGTCTAGTAACCTTAATATCATTAAGTTATTTTAAACTATTGGCAATCAAAAGCATTTTAAGCAAGGATTTTGTCAAGGTGGTAAATATATTTTGTGATATTTACAAATAGTGAAACAGTTGTATGTACATGTATATATGCCTGATGTTCAACAAAATGTTGCCAACTGTGCAATATGATTAACATAAATTGTGAAAAGAAATTAAAAATAATCCTACAAAGCAGATCTTCTACATGGGTTTTACAAGAATAGAACAAAGAACATTGACATAAACTAAATTTTGTTATGTTATCAGTTTTCATACAAAGAGTATACTCCCCTTAGAAGGCAAAAAAGATTACGAACAATGGAAAACAGATACTTATGTTGTTTTTTTCTAGTAATTATCCTCCTTTCAACTATCTATGTTCAGAGTAACTTAGAGATATTTCTATGTCACAGATTAATGTGTGCATAATTAACCATGTTTCCCACAGTTCTTAGTTGGAACCAATTTGTTGTCCTACTTGGGGTAAAAACCTCATTAAAATAAAAACTAATACCAGAATCAAATTTGGTTTATGAAAATGATACATAATTGATGTTTACTTTACAATACTGTAACCTGAAAAGGTATGGTACAATCCAAAAAAGTTAATGTACCGAAAATCTCAATTTGTTCGAAAATAGTTATTGATAGCTTGTATAGGATGTTTTAACTCCTTCATGATCATCAAGTTAATTGTATATTCAGTAAATGGAACTTTTTAACACTATTGTACTTTGACCTAAAACAGTTTAAGTAACACACGTTAGAGCATAGGTGGTCCAATAAGGTTTCTAAATTTCATCTTCAATAATAAAAGAATCATAAAATAATTTAAAATAATTTGCTTGATACATGTATATTAAATTCTGAAAATTATTTTCAATTGTAAACATTTAAAATTGTACAACATATAAAAGTAAATAGTGTCACCTGAAGCCAGACATGGGCAAGTGATTTGTCTACTGTGAACCTCTTTCTCATTTTCACCTGTAGTAAGTTACTGATCAGATCTAATGCTGTAAGAATCAAAATGATTGGATGAGTAAGGAGTTCTAACAATGAAAATGATCGGACAGTTTAAGATCATGGCAACACATGATGAAATAACCCTGAATGCTGTAATGAAGACAATATGAATGGGTTAGTGAAGCCAATCAGTGAAAACAAAACAATAATATGTAAAAAGCATGAACAAAAAGTATCAGTCAAAAAGCTAAAAACAATACTGTGAACAGCAGCCATGCAATGATTTCAATTAAAATATGTTTAATTTTTTTCTTCCATGGCAATATTTGATGTTTGAAAACTGTATAAGAGAACATATACAAATTACATCTTAAAATATGCTGAATAAAAAGGTAGGTTCACATTAAATTGAAAGTACATAGCCAAAATGTTCCCTGTATTGCTCAAATCATAGCAAAACAAATAAAACAAGCATTGACAATTGCACTCATCCTACACATTAGTGTAGTCTACTCACTCAGATATGTATTGCTACTTTAAATTTATAAACAGTAAATCGCCAAGTTTCAGATGGCTGATATAGACAAAACAATTAATTGTTTTATAACAATGCTATTGTTTTTTACTTTTTCTTTCAGATTTATAGTGTTCCTTTATTTTGCAGAACAACCAAAACTAAACCTAAATTAAAGTTCAGGTCAGCTTATATAAACATAAGGTACTTCATATCTATTTCATTGACAACTTCAGGTCAAAATGTTTGTGTGTAAAAACTTGTTACTTCATTTTTAAAAAGATAATAAAAGAAAAAGATAAGCAAACAAAATATAATCAATAACGTACTTATCCACATTCATACCGATGTATTTTTTTTGTATCTGAGTGAATAAACATTTGAAATTATTAATGCTACAATAGTATGCTACTTATAAGTTAATCAGTCATAGAATGTCTTTGGTCCTTAATGATCTCTTAATGATATGACTGATGAACTCATATATATGTGCGCCAAGGTACATTCCTTATTTTTGAAGCATAGGGAACATTGATTAGTAATGCCAGGAAAACTAAAAAGCTCTTCACAATTTTTCATTATATTTATACTTTTCTATTCAAATAATTCATACTTCATGGCTTTATCATCACAAATGTCAATTGGCTAATATGTGACAAAGAGAGAGGGGCAATTAACCACCCCCTTTTCCGTAAGAAAAAATTTGGTATAGAAAATACAGTAAACAGTAACACCCACTATTTAGCTATTGAAATGCTGAATTATCTACTTAGTAATCACAAAAAAAAAATAATTCAATACCCCAAAAAAACTTTTTTCTGCTACCACTGATTTTTCCCAATGAATTTTTTTTGAAGAACACATATCTTGTAAGAATGACCTTCTTGAAATCTTTACACAAGTTAACAAAATTAGAAACTGCCATGAAGAAAACAAAGAAAGGAAAAGATTGGTAGTTCTGTAAAAGAAGAGCCTTTTTTGTTAGTGATAAAGCGTATAACACAAAGTAAATGGACACCTGTTTTAACCAAGGATGCTGTAAGACCTTTTTACAAGAAGGTCGTGATCTTTGATTAGTTATAAAAATGATCCCAAGGAATCTCTCTGCTGTAATAAAAAAGATATGGATATAGTAAATCACATGCATTTCAATTGTCTGTGTTGAAAGATGGAAATTAAGGGGAATACAATACCATACAAATGCTGTGTATTTTTCTCTCACTTTATGTTTCTTTTTTTCAACTTGAGCACAAACTGAAGAACCATAATACGTCCCGTAAACGGGCGTATAAAAATAATTGGTAGTCAACCTTAACAAAGGAAAAAAAGTTGATGAAAAAAACTATATAAATGTGCAGAAAATTAAATGTTTGTTTTAGTTTCTAATTTTTCAACTTTTTTTTTTGACACAGCATAAGTAAACTGAGAAAAACCAAATAACCATTACAGCTCTTCTATAAAAGCATGCAAAGCAAACCTTTGATCAACTTGCTTGCTATGTTTGCTTGGATGTTTGCAAACAATAGGTAGGCGGAGTTTCAGTCTGTTTTATATATACTGGGATTTGATTGGACAATAAAAATTGACATGCAATGAAGTTAATGTTTATTGTCCAATCAAATTCCATTACATAGTAAACAGACTGAAACAGACTACCTACCTTTTGTTTACAAACATCCAAACAAACATAGCAAGCAAGTTGATCAAAGGTTTGCTTTGCATGCTTTTATAGAAGAGCTGTAAGAACATGCATTTCCATGCCATAAATATGATATTAAACAAAACATGCATCTAAACATTTAAAGCCCCTTTTTTTTGCAAAATAATGAAATTGTAAAAAGCTGCAATAGCACATTTGGGTAATTTCCTTATGTTCTGCTAGGTTTGTTAACATAATTAATTATGTCAATATTATTATAAACACTTAATTTTATATTGATTTTAATTCAACGGATTTCATTCTACATGCATAAATATATATATAATAAGCTAAATAAATGTTTTCATTACAATTTTACAAATTTAGCTTAATAGTTGACAGTACATTTATTCATATTTATTTCAAAAGCGCTTTAAAACTAGTTAGAACTGAGTTAAAAGCCAACAAAACTGACATATTGAAACAATATATATTCATAATATATGTACATTGGGAGAAAACATTTGTACGTGGCAAATAAGTTTTTATATTTTCTGAAACTTTGCATATGTTTCTTTCGTCTTTATCCTGTATATTTTTCAATTTCTATGTAATGAAATAATTAAAAAACTCAGCAATTGTATGATGACGATGAAGCAGGGATCAAATTAAAATGTGACATATGCAGACTTTAGTCTACTGCTGTGAATTCATAACAGAAGCAGTATACAAAAATTTTACCCCCATATACAGAAAAGATTTATTCAAACACCTCAGTTGTACAGTTATATGGTACATGCAATATACACAAAAGTATTCAAAGTAATGAATAATATTTAGTTGCTGAACTAGTATATATTATTGTTTTAGGGGCCTGCTGAAGCATGCCTCAAGATGCTTGATTTTCTAGCTGCGTTGAAGACCCATTGGTGGCCTTGGGCTGTTTTCAGCTCTTTGGTCGAGTTGTCTCTTTGACACATTCCCCATTTCCATTCTCAATTCTATATCTAGTTCAGAGTCATTCTTTCAGTAACCAATCTTGCAGCTGTAGTGCTTATATAATTAACAGTCATGTGCAGGTACCATGTCAGACAATCTATGACTCTAATACAAATTTTTCCATTCATTGATATGTTATTGTTATTTTTCTTCAACTTATTGTTTTTTCAGCTCTCTTGTAAGATGTTAAATTATAATGGAGTAATGTATTCTATTAAAGCTAAGAACTCACTATCCATAAGTATACTCTAGTATGTTGTGATTCAGTTTTTTAGCCATTATAATTAACAGTAGAGAATATTTACTGTTCTAAAATAAGCTGAATTTTTCGTGGTAAAAGTGATGTCTGTTTGTCGTAATAATTTATGATTAATTAATAATGACAGGTGACAAAATTGGCATTGCTGTCTGCCAATAAATATTATAAGATACTAACCCTCCTGAGAAATTTCCTTCCATGGATTGGGTGGGTACATAAATGATGCATTCTGTATTTGGTCACTGATCTCTTCATCTTCATTGAAAGGGAATGTTCCACTTAAACTAAAATGATTGTAGTCAATTTTTAATTTTTCAACATGTTCAAATAAATCAAAACACACGGTTAAAATATTTTCTCCTAATTTTCTAATATTTCCGTCATTTAAATGTTTATATATTTAGAGCTACTCCATTTGCAGAATGGGATTTTCAGACAATGAAGTAAATTTTTATATACATCAGATATAGTTGCGATATTTAAATGCAATATTCTTTTTGTCATGAGGATACTTATTGGATGGTGTTATTATGACATTAACCTGTTATTTTTTTTCTAATGTTATTTCTGGATATATGAATAAACATCTCACACATCAGTTAGTATTGTTGTATTACAATGCATATCAATGTGACTGGTTCCACTAATGTAGCACTAGTCATTCAGTTTGTAGGTGATTTTTCCAAGTCAAGTTTATCTGACTATATAAGAATAAGGAGATGTGGTATGATTGCCAATGAGAAAACTATCCACCAAAGCTCAAATGAAGTGGATGTAAGCAATTATAGGCAACATTCAACAAACTCACAAAAAATTTTAAATTCAAAATGTGAGGCTAAGAATTAGGGAAAGTTTATTACACTTACCTTACATATATAACAACACCTACAGACCACATATCTAGAGATCGGTTATAACCTTTACTTTTTAAAACTTCAGGGGCTGTAATAAAAAAACATGTATAATCCAAATATAACAAATTATTATAACAATAGAAGACTGTAATTTTGACATGGGCTTTCCACTGGAATATTATGTAGATGTTCAAGGTTGTAATATATCTTTATCAAAATTAATTAATAACTTTAGGAACTACTGTATGATTTCAGAATGACAGACATCAGTAACACAATATGCCCTAGCCACTTGAACATAACATGCACAAAAAATAAACTGACATGACCAGATTACTGAACATATCTAATAGAAATAAACAAAGTGGGATAATAGGTAAATAAATAAAGAGCAGTGCCATGAGCGCATGATACGACTGTTGCTTTTTCAAAGAATAAAGTTCCATAACTCCTCAATGTCATATGAGAAATTTATAAAATAAATACTAAAGGGAGATTATTTTAATAGATATAAAACAGTCACCAAAGTTTCATGAAAACTGTTCAAAGCACTTTAGAGTTATTGTACGCAAACTGGAAAATCCCCCCTTTTCTATGAATAAAATCCCATAACTCGGACACGTATAACCTAAAATTTATAAAAATCAAAAGGGAGCTTACGTCAATAGATATAAACTATTCACCAAATTTCACAAAAATTTCTCAAAGCATTTTAGAGTTATTGTCTGAAAACTGGTAAATCCCCCTTTTTTAATGAATAAAACCCCATAACTCAAAAACTTCAAATCTAAAATTTTTAATAATCAAAAAAGAGCTCACATCAATAGATATAAACATTTCAACAAAGTTTCATACAAATTGGTTAAAGCATTTTGGAGTTGACGACGGACGGACGGACAGAAGGACGGCAGGACAACAGTATACCATAATACGTCTCGTAAACGGGCGTATAAAAAAACCAAACAAAAAATCCAAGAGTTATTGTACTGTAATAAGTGAAGTTAACTTTTTCATTTTGTTCACCTATTAAATTGATCTTATTGGATGATACTATTTATTAATAATGCATTTGAAAAGCTAGAGAAGACCAGACTCGCAAAAAGCATAGTTTATGGAATATTGCTTCTTTTCAAATTGATTATAAGTAAATCTACATCTATATCCCAACACATGAATAAACAAGAATATTGCCCATAGGACACAATGCACTGCTAACACCATCACATTTCTGTGGTCAGTGAACCATGAAATCTGGGTCAAAAACCTCATTTGGCATACGTTTCAAAAAGTTGAAAATCCTAACGAACATCTATATACTAAGTTTCAAGTTGATGTGACCCTTATTCATTGTAAACTACCCTAAAAAACTATATTCTGATATGTGATTGACAAATGGATAGACAGATCAGAAAACATTATGCCCCTACTATTGTAAAAAGGCAATTATCTAACAATTCTAATTCGTTCATTATTTTTCAATCATGACAAGCTTAAGATTAATACAATTTGTAGTTTAAAATGTGTAAAAACCTATTTAAAATCTTTCTATCAGATATATAAGCTTATATAATAATAATCTTCACCTACCAAGATATGCTGGTGTTCCTACTACTGATATTCTGAATGATTTTTCACCTATAATTCTGGCAAATCCAAAGTCACATAGTTTTACCTGAAATATAATCAATATAAGACTTCGTTATGCCACTTCATGGTAAACATCATTGTAACCTTCATGATTTCAGATATTTTTCTCTCACCTGAGGGCATTAAATCAACTCCAACCTGTGACACACTTCTAAGCCAGATCTTGTTCCATTTTCACGTGATCAAAACATTTTTTATTCAAAAACCCTGGACAAACCCTTTGAGCCACCATAGGACCACCATTTTCTGTCTTTTCTGTTTTATCAGTTTATTAAGCTTTGGTGTTTTCCCTTTTATATTAAGGTGTTTTCCCTTTGACAATATATTTATTCTTTTTATCAATATAACTGTTTAAAATATGTATAGTTTCTAAAAGGGACAGATAACTAAGCAGAAAAGTGCATTATAAATGGATTACAGCTTGATACTGATGCAGTATAAAATAAGGCGATGTGGTAAGATCGTCAATGAGACAGCTATCCAGAGACAAATTGATGTAGATGTCAGCAACTAAAAGGTCACTGTACAGCCTTCAACAATGAGCAAAAACTGTACCACATAGCAAACTATAAAAGGCCCCTCCTGACTTGGGATGGGATAGGTACATGCAGAATGTGGCAGTGTTAAATATGTTTGTGAGTGCTTAACAGTCAAAAAGCAAGTCCTCAGAACTTTCATACAGAAAACAATGGTGACATTGACAACAAAGAATTATTGTTAATAAGACACTTGATAACTGAGAATAAATGACTGCCTTTAAATCTATGGTTTTCCCAAAAATAAAAAAATTATCAAAAAACACCCAAACAAGTTAAACTATGAGCGCTTTTTTAACTAATCATACCCCCGCTATAAAATTTTTGGTTAGCAGGAAGTTGATAAGCGATGAATGGGAAACATGAAGCCTGGAACCAAATTCCAGGGTGGTCAAATACACAATTCCTAAAAACAATTTGACAAAAATTACATACATGGTCACTATGTGTACGAAAAATAATTATATTATAGGAATTCTGTGAAAAGGACGTTGACAAGTGATGAATCTGAATATGCTCACACTGCACCTAAAACTAAATTTGCAGTTCCTAAGAAATTTAAAGGGGTGGATGGAAAGACGGACAGTGTTTAACAGTATAGTCCCATCCTTTGGAGTGGGGTATAAAAGCACAATAGTGAATTATTTACCTGTTTCTGGGGATAATAAAATGTTTTCTATCTAAAGATCATAATACATATATATTTAACTGTGGAAATGCTGTTTCTGAAGATAATAAAACATTTTCTATCTTAAGATCACAAAACACATATATCTACCTGTGGAAATGCTGTTTCTGAAGATAATAAAACATTTTCTGGCTTAAGATCACAATGCACTATATTTTTCGAATGTAAATGTTTGAGTGCCACTAAAATCTGAAAAATAAAATATTTGTTAAAAAAAACAAAAGCTGAGATTAAAACCTAAAACTTAAATATATGCATTAGACTTGTATTATGTAAGGATATTTGTTCCTAGCATTGTCTACTTTCCCTTAATAGTTAGTAGTCATCAAGGATTCCCGTCAACAATGCACCGAAGAACTGTCTGCCAACTCTTTATTTCTTTTTACGTTCTCTACATTACAATATACCTTTTGTGTATTCATTTGGCAAAACTTTTTGGAATTCTTGTTTAGTCTTTCATAAGATTTGTATACTCACCAACACTTTTCCTATTTCTAGAAAAATGAAACAATTCAAATTTTGATTTATGCAACACATCCTGGCCTATTTTATAATTTTCCACGACTTATTGAAAATGCCAGGATGCTTATTTGTTTTGAATAATCCAGCAAGCTTATGTATGTTTATGCAATGTCATTAACCATTTGAGAGAAAATAGTCAATAAACAGGCTTGTTCTACTTGTAAATTGCTTATAAAATATTCAGACATTTCCTACATAAGAAGACTAATTGTATATTAGCACCATCTGAAACAGTTCCAGTCAATATACAGGATATTTCTACTACTAAATGACATAAGATTTCTGGGCACTTCCTGTCTGGATCATAACTTAGGGTGATAACTGACCCTTCGCAAACCTTGACATTTTCTATTATGTTTGTCTGAAGGTTACCAAAACCCTTTTTAACCAATCAATACATCATTATAAAAGTCACTGTTAACACTTACTTGTGAAATGAGGAATTTTGTGACTCTTTCACTAAGACGACCTTTTGGACTAGATAATATCATTTCTAACATATCACCACGTAGCTTTTCCATTACTACAAAAATCTGTAATAGATAATTTGAAAAGAATGTAAGCATAAATTAACTACAATTATATGTGAACACAATGGTCATGTTATCAAAGTCATTATTGTTTTAAATAGCTTTGACTTCAACCTTCCATGGATCATCCTGTGACCTTATAAACATAATTTTAATTTCAAGAAGGTTTTGTCACAACCTAACACTAACTACAATGGGGTGTTTAAAGACCCTGAATGGCTATTATTCCCTCGCACGGTCGGCTTGGTGCCCTAGGGAGTTTGGTGAGCATTGGAATATTTTTGATGTCAAGTTGGTCGCAAAGAAGACAGCCATTTTGGTTTTGTGTATGTTGTTTCAGTTTCTTTACTATTTTAGTTTGAAGTAGTCGTCTAAACAACTGCTCTTTTCAGAGCCAGGTACAGTCCCTGTAACGTAAAAGTTAACACTTTTTTCATTCGGGAATCGTACGTACAGCGTTCGGGAATCGTTCGTATAGAGTTCGGTCATCGTACGTACATCATTCGTATAGCGTCCGTACAACGTTCGGTCAGCGTTCGTTCATCGTTCGTTCATCGTATGGTAAATGTCACCGTTTAGGGTTTTATATATCGTATGGTTCATGGTATCGTTAAGCGTTTTATTTGTCGTATGGTACATGGTATAGTTTAGCGTTTAGCGTTTCGTTTATCGTATGGTATGTGATATCATTTAGCGTTTCATCAATCGTATGGTATATCGTTTTGTTAAGCGTCTGATATATGTTAGGGTTTTATTTCAGAAAGTTATTTCAATTATTATTTTGAGTTAAAATAATTTAATATAAAAAGATGCGGGATAAAAAAAAAACAATTATTAGTTTGGATTGGATTAAATCTTCTACTAATATCATTATTTGACACTCAAATAAAATATATATTTATTTATTTATTTATTATGGAATATATATAAAACGAAGGGGAAACGTTTCCTCCCATATCATTTTGACATGAATAACATGAGACCAAATACCGCGATATAAGTCTCTTTCTTTCTCTCTCTCTCTCCTCCACCAAATATTTCTCTGATCCAAATATTTCCTTGACACAATAAATAATATATAATGTTCTATAAATGAGGCTTTATATGAGATACATGTTTTATATCTAAATGTATTAAAAAAAAAGACAAGACATCCATGGTATTTGTTGCCCTTAATGTCAGAGTCTGATATAAACCGAAAATTGCCAGGGATATATAAAAATTCGTTGACGACATCTATGGAACCAGTGTCGCTTGTGATTCCTGTTGTCGGTGTTAAAACTATTATTTTGACAGTAAAAAGTGCTTAAGTCCATGTATGAGTAAAATACCGAATTAAAAAATAACTCTGCCTTTTTTATATTTCTTTATTTTAGAGGTAAGCTTCTGGCCAAGTTTCACCAACTTTAACGCAAATCATTTACCTTAAATAACCAATCAATTGTATTCTAAAAGTTGTTGATTTGTTCTTTGTACGAATACATGCAATATTTGTCACTGGACGTTATGCATGCAATCGATGATCAAATACAAATCTACAGTATTTATAAACATACTGCCATTGTATATATGAAATAGACTAAATAATTTAAATTTTAATTATTTTACACATATTTGAAGGATCGAAATAATCAGTTCTACAAGTGGTTGTTATTGAAAGACTTGAAATTTTACAAATATCACATGCCTCTATGGAATTTCTTATCGACGCACCAAACATTTTCCTTTCATCGTGCATAGTTCATTTTCCGATTCACTTAAGGTTTCTAACGATCTTCTCACTTGTTCATTACATTCTAAAATTAAAATCCTACACAAGTTGCCAAAACTTTTATTCTCAGGCTAGACTGCGTAAAAGATGAATATTGTTTTGATTGTGTACACACGGTGTTTTGAAGGCCGATATCCAGTTTCGCTGAAAAAGAATTAATTTGCGCCACAACTTAATTACGCCAATTCTTTTTTTGCATCATTTTATTTTAAAAACTGCAGCATTCATTTCCGCCAATAAAACAATCATTTAATTGGCCAAATGTTATAGACTTGTTTGCAAATGTTTGTTCTTAGTGCACTGATGAGGTCCTTTCCGGTATTTACAGGTACAAGTAGAAATACCGCAAAGGGCCTCCTAAATGCACTAAGAACAAAATATTGAACCAAGGACCTGATGGAATGATAGAATTGACACAAAAAACATGACATATAGAATGAGACTTTCTAAAAGTACATAATTTCAAATTTTATAATCATATCTTTAGTAATTATAAAGTTATTTAACAGTTGAAGTCAGTATTCTAATGTTACATGTACGTGTAAATAGGTTAATCGTTTCGAAGTAAATATGGCACAATTAAGTTCCATTTATTGGCGCAATTCATATTATAAGAAAAGAACAGATGGCCGCGATTCAAACCTTTTCAATATGATGGTAGTTGGCACAAATTACACCTAATCGTTCTGACAACCCAGTAAATTCTTCGCCCGGGGATATGCATTTGACGTTAATCTTCTTTCAGTAACTTTACAATACCCAGTCGTGTCATTTCTGTATATTGTACATGTAGATAGCACGTGTGATACATGTATATACACCAGAAATACCCATTCAAGTGAATTTTATCTTTTAGAAGAACTCCATATCAGGTAACATTAAATATACATAAACATAAAATTACATTAAAAAAAAATGGTAATAATAAGTTCAAATGTTGCTTTATTAAATCATTAAATGCACCTAAGTACGTATTTGTAAACTTATGTTATTACTTTATTTCATGTATCTTTTTTGCATTCTTCTTTTTGGTTTAAATTACCTTCTTTTTTTTTTGGTTATCTTATTGACTTATTCGTAAATCGAAAAACGCACAAACCTAAATAGAATCATATGGCATTTAAATGATTTCTCTAACTCAAAACTAGTTATAGATGCTTCTTAATTTTATTTTTCTCGTTGGGTTCCTTGTCCATTAATTGACGTATACGCCATATTCTTTTTTACGGTATTTGTGAAAAGCCGCTCATCGATCAATTTCAAAAGAAATCTTATACTCGTAAGTCATGAACATTGAAGTTCAACTTGCTATCAATTGTTCGTATACGCACAAAGATAAAATGAATATAACACTTTTAAGCTGTTCTGGGAACAGTATATCTAATATATATGTTCCTGAGTTGTTTAAATCATGCAGTGAATTTTGAAAATATAGTTTTGCAAAACCGGTTATTTCTGTTTAATACTTTTCTGTCCCTTTTCTTAATAATTAGGACATGTGTCACTGGTTAATATAGAACTAGTCAACCATGAATAATCCCAAACAACAATTTTTTTATTGGTTTTTCCTGAGACTACTATAACACATATAGTAGTCTCAGGTTTGTCATACTAGTACTTGCTTATATTATCAATTACGTATTGTTTTCGGCTGAGACTACTACATGTATAACAGTAGTCTCAGTTTTCGGAAATATTGTAACAATATCCTTTAGAATTTCAAATTGCTTTAGTCATTTAATATATATATATATATATATTTTGTTCATAATTAATAAATTAAGATTGATAATATAATTGCATCATTTTTTAAGCATTATTTATAAGACATTTTAATATTTATTTAACGTGCATACCGATTTGGTTGGCAAATAACTGTTTAAACACTTGACGCCATATTAATATTATATATGAACATTTCGGAAAAATTAGGCGGATATTTAAACATCGGCTCTCAGGAAGTTTTCTTGTAGGTTAAAAGAAGGGGGGAAATATACCTCCAAGTAGTTAAACTTTAAGATTGGTATTCTTTAAATTGTATAACTTTCATTTTCTTGCTTTCTCCTCAATTTTTAAATTAAATGGAGAATCAAGTTTTAATGCCAGATCTTTTATTATTTGTTCTGTTAAATCAAAGACATGTAGTACATGTATTCTATTTTCCGGGATAACTTTATTCACAATGATAAAGAAATTAGGGATGATTAAGAAATTGGCATGTTGTGTATACACCTTTCTATTGGTGAATACTATATATGTTGCCCACTAGATGTCCTTGTGTGCTTTCTGTTGTTTGATTGCTGTCTCGTTGTCGTTAAACCCACTATGATCTCCTACAGTTTCAGTTCCGTTTGATGTACGTTTAATTCGGTTTAAAACAAACCATATTTGATAGGGTTATTCAATATATATTTCCCTTAAGACTTTGCTCAGAGGAAAGTAATAGAATAGGTTTGTATATACATTTTAGTGCAAAGTTAACAATACAAGAAAAAGTTTCACTTTTCAATTTTTAACTCCCCACAATTTTAAACTATTAATTTTGAAGACGTGTTTCATCTAAACGAAGTCTAAATGGTCACCAACTTACCAGTTTATTGTTTCCCTATTTGGCACACACCTACATATAAACCACATTGTAAATACAATTTAATTGGTCGTAGTAAATTATATTGAGCACAAAACAAATCCATTTTTTTTTTAAATGAAGAAAAATAATATTTTTTTTTCTTTGAAAGACGGAGTTAATACTTTAAATTACATTGTGCAAAAAAAATCCTTAAATCTTCCTAGGAATGAGAAACTCTTTTCTTCATAGAAATGTTTAAAATAGTTTACACTGGACATTAAACACCTTACAATCAATCAACTAAAATATATCCAAGGGATTTTCATTATGCAAAGTCAAAAAGATTTTATTGATATAAAATCCAAAATATGGATTGTCATCAACACACAAAGAACAATCATTAATCATTACAATCAATTATATAACAATACAGAACATAAAAAAAAAAGAAGAAAGAGGTGTATATATAAATATATAATGAGTATTTTTATTTTCCCCTTCTATCTATTTGACTGAGGAGGTACAGTTTTAGATGCTAGTATTACAATTTATATAATATAAACATAAAATAACTTAAGTTAGTGAACTTCTGAACGTGTACATCTCATTAATATGCATGTACATGTATATAAATGCCGGATACCATATACATATATTGAATAA